ACAATGTGTATGTACTGGGTCTAACAGATAAAAGAAAATGATCTTTTATTTTGCAGTTGCGACCCTGAATGAAACAATTTACCGTTTTCTGTTGAGGCGCGATTTTGTCTTTATAGCGATGATGAAGAGCGTATAGGCGCCCTGACCAGCGATACGCTTAATACAACATTATCCAAACTGTCAGCCACTGCGGAAGCTCTGCTATGGTATGGGGTGGCATTAATTTGGATGCTGGCAACGGACTTATTTCGAATTCAGGAAAGGAAAGATGCATAACAGATATTTTAGAGCTTCAAGCAATGCTATTTGACCCATTTATTCGACAGAAAGAAATGTTTTTTTTTAAACTTCCACAGGCTACTGTAATACTTTTTACAAAACTTCTGGATTCCTCGTGCGTCGGTTCTTGCTGAGTCGAACTTGCTGACGTTTCGCCAATCATCCTGTTGGTTCTTCAGAGCTTGACTGAAACTGGCTCGTATTTTACTCTATACCTGCTTATATATTGTTTGAGGGAGTGGGATTAAATAAGGGGCATAAACAACGGCTCGGATGACTGATTCCTATATTGATAGATAGATTGATTGATATAGATTTCTATAGACTCTCAGATTTTTCGTTGGTAGAAGAAGTGATTGCATCTAACATCGGTGTGTTTGGCAACACCTGATGAGTTTATTTGTCTTAGTCGTAAGGCTCTTTCGTATTCGTTGATCCTAGTTGACATTTTTCGTCCGGTCTCTCCAATGTATTCTTTGCCGCATATGCATAGAATGCTGGAAGCTCCTGGCATCTCAAATGGAACTTTGTCTTTGACGGACCGAAGATGTTGAGAGATTTTTAGACAAGTGGTAAATCTGGTTTTGACGTTATACTTCTTTAGAACTTTTGCTATGTGGATAGTGACATTTTGAATGTAAGGAAGCACCACAGTGGCAAGTATAGGATTGCTTTCGGCCTCATTGTTATTGAAAAGTTGAGGTGAAGTGTATTTTTTGATTGAACGCTTAATATCTTTAATGTGGAAGTTATTAGAGAGAAGAGCAGAGGTAAGGTGTTTTAATTCTGGGTTCAGTGACTCGGGCTGAGATAGTTTTACGGCTCTATAAACAAGAGAGTTGATAACCGATGAGATTTGGGCCGGATGGTTATGTGGCTATGCATTAAGGTATCGGTCTGTGTGCGTAGGTTTTCAGTAAACACAATGACCCAATGTTAGGTCTGATTTTCTATCGACAAGGATATCTAAGAATGGAATAACCTTCCATTTACCATTAGTTTCCAACTCAATGGTAAAATGTATGTTAGGGTGTATAGAGTTTAAATGTCTAACAAAATCTACTAGGGTTTGTTGACCATGAGGCCAAATATCTATGCATCTATGGATCGCAACCTTAAATCTGTTATTAAGGTTTCTCCTCTATCAGACTTCGTGTAAATTTACCTGCAGGAAGTGGAAGCACTTTAGCTTGGTCATAAGGAAATTCGGATATGAACTCCAGGGAGCACTTATAACTCAACACGTTAGAAGCCTTGTAGCCTCCACCTAGAGATTTAGCTAAGCTAAATCTAAGTACGCCCAGAAGATGTGACACAGTAATCAGAACGATATTAAATATAGTCTCTTAACATTGAACACTAATATTTTGGTCGTCTTTAGTCCACTCTGTATGAACCTTATAAAATTATTTGAAATGTTCAATATAGTAATTAGGTTTGGATAAAAATTGATGGATCTAATTTAAGAATAATTTTCGATGTTAGTGCAATATATTAAATGTGCGGTGCAATGTATTTCACGTAAACGTTAAAGCACTTTAAAACGCGTAGGCGGAAAAACTTTTTTCGCATTATTTTCGCGGAACATGCCAGAATTTAATCAGGCAACGCTTCAATCGATGGTCATGATTTAATTAAGTATCGGAGCGGATGGGTAGATAATTCAAGCGAGAGTCGAAAATACTTCGACTAAATTCCTGACCTGCTCCGGTCAATCCCGGACTGCACGGAATTTCCGACGCCACTTTATTAAAAACGCTTTCGAGCCTTTATTTTTATGTAATAACCAAATAATTCAATTGTTCGTAATATTTCGTAACGAGTGTTTGAAACAAAGATATATAATAAAGGGTAGTTGGGAGGTGGTTTTATTTTTTAAAGTGATGGAGATATCAAGACACATCATACATAATATACAGCTTACCCAGAATAATATTTTTATGGATTCAAAAGCATAGGTAAATTAGAAATGTAACTCAATGTAGGTTAACAAAATAGCTTGCTAATATTTCGTTAAACATTACGCATACCATAACAAATAGTTATAATAATAATATTAATAAATTTATTTATTGTTATAAGTCGGAACTGCCAAAATATATATGCTCCTATAAATGAAAAATGAATGGCTAACAATAGGCACTATATCAATGTAGCTTTAACTGTAGACGATTAAAAATTAATAACAATTACAAAAAACAAGAGAAATAGAGAGCGTTTAAAATTTCGAATTAAAAGATGGAAGCATTTTATCAGATATGGAGACGGAACTAATGAACCGCTACTTTTGGATACTGATTAAGTTAGATTGATATTAAAATTGCGTATGTTATTAACATTTTGAGCAATATTACAAGATACTTCGAATTTTTATATGTCAAAATTTTAAAAAATAATGTTTTCATGTGCAGTTTCGATCGAAAAAGCATATTTAAATAATGCAATCTAACTCTATAAATTAGCCTCTAGCAAGAATTTTGAATTTGGAATGGGATAGAGCTAATTCGAAAAAAAAAGTAACTGTGTATCTTGTGCAAGGTAGACGCTATGGCGTGTACTAATTTCCAGTCACTAAATGGATATTTGTGGTTCGCGAATCAAGGATTACTCTCAAACTGTTACCATAATTCTAGTAAGAAAAAACATTTTCACCTAGCTTCATTTGAGTATTGTTTCTAAATCTAAAAATTTGCCCGTCATTTCCGAAAATAATCACAAAAGATTTAGTTGAATTCAGTTTTGAAAGACGCTCAGATGCTATATTGCATACTTATAGTAACTTATAATATATAATTATAAATTAAATATAATAAGTTATATGGAAATTAGAAGTAAATTGGGGTGTCGTCAGCATAGAAGTGAAAGCTGCAATGACAAAGAGATTTGGAGAAGCTATATACAATATACGGAAGAGGGCTAAAAATACCATCCTGCGGCGCCCCCATGCGCAAGTTAAATGATGCAGAATATTTTTTGCTCGTATACTTATGCTATGAACACAATTAAAATTTCTAATTATATGCTTGATTTTGAGATCAGAACCAGGTCATTGAAAAATGTGTTTTTTTTACACTTGAAAACTGAAATTGGAAATTTTTTATTATGGATCTATGGAAGAAGTTAATATTTAATACTTTGATCTAACTACGGTGAAAATATATAATACAGGATGGTCACAAATGACAATTAAAAAATGCTTTTTCTAATTGAAAAATCTCAATTTTTTTAAATGAAATGCCCTGTATTTAGCACCTTTAATGGGTTTGGGATTTAATTCTTTTAATTTAATTAATTTTTTATGCAGTTCCATAAAAAAAGTTCAGGTGTGTTAAGTCAGGGCTTCCTATTGGCCAATCCAAAATGGAAAATGTTGATTTAAACAATTTCTAACAGGCACTACGGTATGATATAGAACACTATCTTGTAGGAAAACAATCCGGTCTTCAATATCGTCCAGCAGAGTATCAATTAATGGGACAACAAATTGAAATATCTCCATTCAAAACAAAGTCGCGTATAATTCCGCACTACACATTAACACTTCTCCGACCCTGTTTCTTAATTTCTTTTAGACGATTTTCATTTGAGAAATACAGGTAATGAGTATTTTCTCTGTTGAACATACCGGCCATACTGAAAATTGCCTCATCTGTAAATAGAGTTTTTAAAAAATGTCACTTTCAAAATAGTGGTCCATCATAAGGGAACTTTAAAATATTCTTGTTTAAAAGTCACTGGTTTATTCGTGAGTCAAATGCCGTTTACCGCACCTGTTAAATTAAATATGGCAAATTTTGAATTTTGGATTATAAAACGATCATCATACCTAGTTCAAAACACTTCGAAGCTTCAAATGAGCAAAACAGTCATAATATTGATCGACAGAAGTAGTCCCATAAATGTGAACTACTCGCACTTCCATTAGAAAAAAAAATATCTCAGAAAAAAAGAAGAAAAGTCTTGGATCCATGTTGCCCTATCTGAATAATCCACTGCATCAAGACTTTATATAAGAATTTGCTACAAGCATATGATAAAAAGCAAGTTCCTTTTTCTTAAAAAATATATTTATTTTTAACATGAAATTTTCGACTATTATATCATTTATTATATCATATATTTTGTTTCACGTTTTTGGTTAGCCTCATTTTTCATTGTTAACAAGCTCCAAAATACGTAACGCCATTTTATTGAAACATTCTTAAAATGTTCAATTTCACTTACACCTTTTTTTTTCTTTCATATAATATTTTTTATTTTCAGTTTTGTTTTATTAGCTATGTAGATCAGTTTATTTTAGTATTAGTTTAGTATTGTTTTTAATGTTATTAAACTATTAAAATAATATTAAAATAAATATTATATATTTTATTAAATATAATTTTTATTAAATTTTTATTTCTTTCTTTTGGTACTTGCAATTGGTTTTTTAAAACATTCTGGGTATTTTCCGGTCCAGATTACATTTACTAGTTGCAAAAGCAATAGCAGAATAAGATAGAATTATTAGTTGCGAATTGAAGTTGGAATTAAGCATAAAAAGAGAGGCCTTCAAAGTGTCACATGACCCACTATTTCATTTTCAGTACAAACAGTAGAGAATTGTCTTATTATATAATACCATCCCAAATTTCATCGCAATATACCAAAAGGTTCAAAAGAGTTTTGTTTTTGTATGGTATTTATTAGTTGGCGGTCTATGGCTTAAAATAACATCTCACCTGCGAGTCGTCCTGCGAAAATATAGCATCGAACGCGAACATTTTGGGCGCAGCCACCCCAACCCGCCTGTCTTCCGGTGCCGAAGAACTGCCGTAGAGGGTGGGATCCAGTAGCGTTACTTGTTTTTTCCGCTTATCCAGAGTGAAAAAGCTGTTAGAACTACTGGGTTCCATACAAGTACTGTTGGTTGGATTCGATACTCGCAACATTACTTTCACCTGAAACAAAAACAGTGCTAAAATAACATAGCTGATATTTTATTCGTAATTTATGAATATTTATGCCGAAAAATAAATAATGAAAATTTAATCCGTAGGTCGAAATTTGAATGCTCGCCGTTATTAAACAGAAACAAATAATTCAAATTGAATGAAAACATTTTTCTTTCATAGAAAATTTCGGTTACACGGGCGAAATGTAGCGTTTTTAGTTTTGCAGCAATATTACTTCATCCGAGGAAATGTCTAAATGCGATTCACGCAAATTTAACAAAAGGAGTTAATAAAGCACTCCATTTTGGCATACGGCTTTCGAGATAAGATAGAGTTGTCCAATTACAACTTGATTTACGTTGGCGGACAATAATAGGGTTCCAATTTTTCTTCGCATTTTCCTCTAACTAAAGTTTATTATTATTTTATTATCCCCACATTTAAAAATGGAGTAGATGTGACTTAAATAACTCATTAAATAACCCATTTACAATAAACTTAATTACATCTAAGCTCTTTGAATAATTATTTAAGAATAACATATTTAGTCAACAGTTGAAACCACCTGCAGCCTTATAGAAGGTGTGATAACTTATTGGGACATCACCAACGCCATCGACTAACTTTCTGAATTTTATAGGATCAGTGGAAACAGCTTAAAGCTAATATATTTTTTTTATCAAATAGAACTGTCTTTATGGGGGTAAGCTCTCTGATATTGGGGTCACAAATCATGGAGTACCCCAGGGGTGAGAGGCTCTCACTGTCCTTAATATGCAGTGAACGGCTAAAATATGGAGCAAACTTATTTAAAAATCAGGTACTGGATTTTAAGAATACTCGCACACGCTCTTCGCTAGCAATTTCTTTCCCAAATCCAAATCAGCCGGATATGCCAGATAGACAGATGTAGCTTCAACATTTTGCTCGACAAATGCATGAATATTTAAAAACGGTATTTGCTGGACAGTGGATTGGTGGAAAGGGATCAATAGTATGGCCTGCAGAATCTTCAGATATTACTCCACTAGATTTTTTCCTCTGGGGATATTTACAAGTATATAAGAAAAAAACCATAAAATTTATATGATTTAAAATTTAGAATTAGATACGAAATAAGGCAAATTAATGAAAATATTCGGCGTAATGTTTTGGAAGTGTTTTTAAAGTGATTACCATATTGTCAAGAAGTAAACGATGGGCATTTTCAATGCATTCGCAGTCTATAAATTTTCTCTTAATTTTACTAACTGTGGGTCTTGGGTCTTTCTGGATATTTTACATTAAACAAATTACAAACTTCTTCTTCAGTTTTTGTTTTGTCTCCATATGCAAGAAAAATTAAATTTTTAATTCTCTGTGTTTCATTTAGAGCAGCCATTTTGCAGTCTCTTTACTGCCGGAATTGTAACTGTAAGAATTTAATTATATATATATATATATATATATATATATATATATATATATATATATATATATATATATTCTCACGTATTGATTCACGGATGGAAAAATGTGATGACACTATACTCCGGGATATCATCCGTTCGCTCGTTGAACTCCGACTGGAATCCTGCATCCGACTGGAATCCTGCAAATCCTGCATCCGACTGGAATCCTGCAGACGTTTCGCCAAACTCTCACTTGGCATCTTCAATGCTCGCGCTCCGAAAACAGTGTTCGAAGTGTTTTCGGAGCGCGAGCATTATATATATATATACATATATATATATATATATATATATATATATATATATATATATATATATATATATATATATATATATATATATATATATATATATATATATATATATATATATATATATATATATATATATATATATATATATATATATATATATATATCTATATATATATATATATATATATATATATATATATATATATATATATATATATATATATAATGATACTATATTCCGGGATATCCGTTCGCTCGTTGAACTCCGACTGGAATCCTGCATCCGACTGGAATACTGCAAATCCTGCATCCGACTGGAATCCTGCAGACGTTTCGCCAAAATCTCACTTGGCATCTTCAATGCTCGCGCTCCGAAAACACTTCGAACACTGGTGTATATATATATATATATATATATATATATATATATATATATATATATATATATATATATATATATATATATATATATATATATATATATATATATATATATATATATATATATATATATATATATATATATATATATATATATATATATATATATATATATATATATATATATATATTTACATATATATAGCTACAGCTACAGCAATGGGCAGGATGTTTTCAGACTTACCGAAATATATATATTGGACTGCTTAGTTTATATGAACGAAAAAATAGTTAATTATGGAACACATCAAGTCTATTACTATGTGTACATCCAGTTTAACTTAAATTGTGCTGTGGTAATATGGGGTAACTGCGCGAGAGCCAGAGAAATAACGAGAGAGGACCATGTTGTTCAAACGACGTGAACACTGTTATCGGGGTCTGTTTTGTTCAATAAAATCTGCTGACATTTCCTTTTCTTCCATCCTTTCTTCTTTCTTTTATCTTAAACAGCACTTATCTCGATTTTTGTGGTTATGGTGGAAAGTATTACTCATAACCTAAGATCTATCCACCGTAGCTCCCTTGTTTGACCCATAAGTTATCTTTAAATGTCTAACAAATATCAAATATTAATCAATTCAAGTCCACAGTAAGGATTTTTTTTTTGCAATAAAAGCATTTTATTCAGTTCACGAATATTTAAATTTCAAATTTAAATTATAATGCGTTCCAATTTTGTTCCTGTTTGTTATCCATTATATTTTAACGTGATACATTGAATACACCGTTTATAATCTTGTTTGTACAATATTTTGACTATTTATTATACTAATATCCGATACTTACACCAATGGAAATAAAAGTTATTATTATTATCATTATTATTATTATTCCAATGCTTTTCACGATTTCTCAGATTGAAGAAATTTAGGAATTAAAACTATTGTTCTCCTAAATGTTTCCATAAGTTACCAAATAATAGTAAACAAATAGAATTAAACATTTTCAAATTTAAAAAAAGAACTTCTTAATTAAAAAATAATTCTATACTGTGAAAGATTTTTGAAACATTGACATACTTGTGCATTTAATATGAATGATTGATGGATATTAGGACCGCTTTAAATTATGTGATAAAAGTGCTTTGCACTTTAAAATACACAATAACAAGGCTTTACTATCTTAATTCTTAAACATTTCGCTTATATGCAGGTGGAACGCCTGAGGAGGGCTGGATTGAAGTGAAATTAAACCAGGGACAGAAGATTATTAAATGTCGCTGATTTAACGAAAATTGGATCAATTCAAGGAAAATTAAATCATAAATGCACCCCTATCAATTTTTCGCGAGCCTGCAGCTGTTTATCTCAGGTTAATTTCCTACGTCTGCGGGATATATTCTTATTTCGAAATCTGATCGAAATCGAAATTTTGTTTAGAGAGGAAGAGTAATTAATGTTTTCGATTAAATTTTTAATCTTGAAGTAATGGAGGGAATTCGTTGATATCAATGGAGTTATAATTTTAGGATCAAGTTTGCGCTGTTTCAATTTCCTTCCTTTTTAAATAAAAAATGGATTTAAATATTGTAAGCGGTCATTTAACGAAAAAGTAATCTCAGGCAAACTACTCTACTACAGGCTACTATCTCAGGCAAATTACTTGTTTTTTTTTTGCTTTTTGAGTATAATATTAACTTAAAAAAAATATACAACTTACTTCCAGTGTTCAGAAAATAATATAAATTTAATGCATTTTTATAAGTGAGTCGATATAATCCTTTTTAAGCTACGCCGCCGTCTAACTTTCAAAGTAAGGCATGAAAAAACAAAATCCGCGAGTGTCAACTTGATTCATTTATGACATTTGTCGTTCTGCTTACCATTTTATTGTGCCAAAACCAGATGTAAAAGTGATTATTTCTTCTTCAATTTGCTACAAAACTGGTAAAAAGTATGTTTTTTTTTATATTAGGGCGACAATATTTTTTTGGATATTTTTTGTATATTTACAACTTAACAAAACATTTTATATTAATATTTGCATAAAAAAATACATGCTAGTCGACTAGATTGGCTGTTTAAATATCTCGCGTCCATGCCAATTGCCTCGTCCATTCCAATATGTCCAGGCAATGGGTACAAAACAACGACAACGAGCTAAAGTGTACAGAGAAAAACCGAAACAACATCCAAAGAAATACAACTTATTGAAAGAAAAAAGCTCAAAAAGGCAGAAGCTTTGTAGAGATTTGCAAAAACAAAAAATTATAGAGGGTTTTAAATCACTAGCAATTTTAAAAGTCAAAAGAGAACGAGAAGCAAGTAGGAAGAGGGTTGAAAGTTGAAAGAAAAGAAAATTAATCAAGAGAAGGAAATGAAGCGGGAAACAACCGTTTTTAAGTCGCCACAAGCACTAGGTAAAGCATGGAGGAGGAAACTGAAAAAGTTTTGCCCAAATGTTCAGAAAACCAAAAGGAAGTTGTGAAACAATTAGCTTCATATGTAGTTCCAGAAATTAAATTTTACTTCAGGGATGACATTAGTCGCCAGGCACCGGGAAAGAGGGATGTTATTTCAGCGAAAATTAAAGAAAGCAAGACTAAACTTCAAAAACGACATATGTGCGAAGCTTATGCGTTTTTTTGTACGCTTCAGAGCTAAACAATTCCGAAAAACCTCCACAGAATTACTACTGCTTCTGTGTTGCAGCATTGATGACAGCAACTCTATGAATGGGCTATGTAGCAATTGCGAAAATGGCATGGAATATGCACTGAAACCTTTGAGGAGCAATGACGGCTTAGAATTGGAAATAACAAGGAAAAGTTCATTTGATGAGTCCCAAGTTTTATAAATAAAAGGGGCTATAAGTTTCCTTCAAGGACTTTTAGGACAGTTTCAAATTTACCAGTAAA